TGGGCTCAGCCCGACAACGGCAGTGTTGGACGTTGCAGCGCTTGGCTAGGAGATGGAACTGACTCAATGACATGTCTAAGAGCAAATTGGACTTTATTTTTTGCCTCCTAGCTGTACTCTTGAACTCTTCACTTTAGCTACAACCCGAGGAAACCATAAATGCTGGCAGAAAGAATAGTTCTCAGAACAAGAAACTACCACATTCTGCCCATTTTTCCTCTTCAGAACTCGCCACTTGCCCAAATGCCCTGGTCCTACCTTTTTCCTGCATCTTCACACCCTCAGCTGGTCCCACTGAGATGGAAGCCTGGACAAAGTAGCTGGGGCTCAGCTGGATACGATTTACTTGTTGGGGGATGGAGCTGTAATTTTTCTCTAAATATCCAAATAAATTCAACTGCCATCCAATGGAAATTTTCCTGAAAGTTTTGCTTTTCTCATTTGCCTTCATCTGGTTCATCGTGGGCCAGTAAATTAAAGAAGACAGATTTTGTCCCCACTCAATTGTGGGCTAACGCCTCTCTTCCAATCTTTAGAGTTCTTCGTTTGCCCTTATGTAAAAAGCAGGTAATCTGTGAACAGGAGAACTTTCATTCTTTCTTCCTTTTTCAATGTGTATGCTTTTTGTTTCTGGTCTTACTATAGCGCACAAATAGAAGTAGCAAGGGCAGACATTTTGATCCCAATGTATCTTTCTTTCATTTAAATGTTTTTATTGAGAAGGTTTCTGGAGCAGATAACGATTCACACTCATTCTGCTTCATCTCATCGGTTGCAATTCCCCACACTGTAGCATTCCTTATCCCACTCCCTCCCTGTGATTTCTGTTTCTGATCCTTCTTTCCCAGCCCTTTTTAACTCTGTCCTCTGGGTAAATGCTGCCCTTTTAATCTCTAGGTTGATTATCCTAGGATGTTCACATCTCAACACTTGTTATTGTTCTTCTTGTAGACAGAGTTCATTTGGGGGGTTGGTGTGAAAAACAACTCATTATATTATGCACACACTGAGTGACCATATGCTACATATGTGAATTTTGTTTTATTGTCTTACTTTTCACTTCACATTATTTATGTTGAGACCAACTTAAAATAGGAGGTTCAGCATGTAAAACGCCTGGGTAATTCCGAAACACAGAGGATTCATAAATTACTTTACATGTATTTTAGAACGGAGCCAGGGGTATATCCTTAGAGTGAATGAGAATTTTTTTTCTCTCTCTTTCTAACTTTCCTGTATTTCTATTGCTCTCACTGTCTGCTTCCTGCCCTCTTCTGTCCCCATTTCTGGAGCCATCTCCTCCTGGTAAGTCCGGAGGGAAAACTTGTGAAGGGTACTAACCAGGAAATGATGACACCCAGGTTGTAATTCCAGTCCTGCCATTTACTAACCTGGGTCACCTCTCTGGGTCTCAGCTTCCTTAGGTGTAAGAGGTTGGGGTCAGGGTACTTGAGATTAAAGAAGCTCTTAGTTTTCATTAGCGTCTCTGGGGGGTGCAAATGGCTAACTGAGTCAGATGCCAACCCAACGTTTGGAGGTTTGAGTTCATCGAGAAGTGCCTTAGAATAGAGGCTACTGAGCCACTTCTGAAAAAAATGAGCCACTGAAAAGCCCGTGGAGGGAAGGTCTATTCTGACATACATGACGTCACCAGGAGTTAAAGTTGACTCGATGGCAAGTGTTTCATCTTTTAATTTATCTCCTCCCCCACCCCCCATTACTCTGTGGATTCCTCCTTGGCTAGCAGGTGAGCTGTTAGCTCTGGAGAGCTGATCACTTGAAAAATCCCCAAAGATAACATGCCCACAGGAGAACTATTGATTGACTGTGGCTCTAATCACAGCCTGGTCCAGGGCTCATATCATGTTACCCCATAAACAAGTAAGCACGGGCTTGCTTGTGTTTACTTACTAATCCATAGAGAATGATTTCATTTCCCCCCCCACCATGTCAAAGATTCTGCTGCTAGGTATCGCTAGCACCTGTCTCTCTCCTAACACCTTCTGACAGAAACAAGGCCTCTTTTCAAATTTACCTTCCTTGACAGGCACCATTTACCCAGTAGGAAAGGTAATCGTGGGTTTACTTGTGCTTACGTGTGAAACTGTTCACTAGAGATTAGAAAGTAAGCACAAGTAAGTCCATGGGTTCCACAGGGCTGCTAACCTCGAGGTTGGTGGTTGAGGCCCACTGGCTGCTCTTGGGGGGGGGGGGGGGACGAGGCTGTGCACTCAGGTAAAGACTTACAGTTTCAGAAGTCCTAAGGAGCAGTCACCCCAATAGTATCACTATAAGCCATGGCAGTGGGGTACCTTCCTTACTGGGTAATTATGCCCTGGCTCAGCTATTCCAATAAATGCTGGTGCCTTTGCTGCTTCCTGGAGCCACCAGCCAGCAGAGGCGAAACTGGCTGGAAAGCAAATGGAGTGTTCCCAAGCACAGCGCCTGGGAAAGCCCATGTCCCCAGGAAGAGGTCACAGAAACCTTTTACCTGCGGTGCAGAGCAGAGTCGGGCAAACCAGGTTTTAAATCCTAGTTCTGCCCCTAATGGCAGCAGTATGACCTTGGGCAAGTTCTCTGGGTGAGCATCATTTTCCTGCTCCGTAGAATGAGTGATATAGTGTCTCTACCCGGTCGAAGGACGAAAGACCTTCCAGTACCTGGTACACACGATCCTTTGTAAATACTGGAACCAGATGTCGCACACCCCCTTAGGACAGAGTCCAACTGCCATAATCTTTCTGGAAGCCCACTGCCAAATCTGTCTCCTGCAGAGGGATGAGCGGCTTCAAACCACCCGCCTTTCTATTAGCAGTAGAGTTCTTTAACCACTGCGCCACCAGGGCCCCTTCGCTGGGAGGAGCCTGTGTGATGACCATGCTGTGCCCTTCATCCAGAGGCTCCTCTCTCAGGCTCAGCGCTCCTCCCCATGGCCAGGAGGCATTGGCTCCGTGCTGAGTGCCAGTCCTGCCAGGGAGTCTGGTCCAGAGATGCAGCTGATGGAGATGCCCATTAAATTCCCTGATTGAGGCGCTTCAGCATCCTGGCTCGACCCAGGTTAGGAGGGCCGGCGGGCACTATTGAGCACGATCTGTTTGGATCACGAATTATTTGTCAAAACTGCCCTTTTCAAGGTCTTGTCCCCTCTCTTCACCCCTCTCTGGCCCATCTCACTGGGTTCCGTCCAAAGGAGAGAAGTGAGCAGTGTAGGCTTTCCACCCCATTTCCATCCATGGGAAGGTGACAGGCGGC